CTGAGGACTGTTATGTCAAATGTGGCCCTAATTTGCGTCAATATATGACATATAAATATATATTTAAATGAATGTGAAATCAATGATTGATTGAAACAACAGTTAGAGAAACAGAGGGAAAGACAGACAACGCGACATGCATTACATGGATGAGCCGTAGGGAGTGCTCGGGTGGCCATCCATTTGAAGGCCTTTGGCGATCTCGGTGTCGACACTCTCGGCGGGAACGCCAACGTTGGTGAGCAGGGACTTGAGGACATTGAGCTCTTTGGACAGCATATCGACTTTCTTGCGAAGGGTGTCGTTCTCTCGGGCCAACTCAGACACCTTCTTCTCGGTCTCTCTGCTCCTGATCTTCGCCTTCTCGCGACTCTTGCGGACGGCTATATTGTTGCGTTCCCTGCGCTTCTTGTACTCATCACTGGCTTTGTCCACATTCTTCTTACCATTCTTATGGCTCTTATGTCCGGAACGCATACTATTGCCGCTGAAGTGCACCAAAGAGATGGGACTCTGGTCTGAGCCGTTCACGTGATGGTCGCGGGTGTCGTACTGTCCGGAATAGCTGCCCCCAGAATAGCCTGAGTTCTGACTACAACTGCTCGAGAAGTCCACGTCCGGGTCGATGGGCTCCTGTTTCACCACAGAGTTCGTGTCGAGTGTGCCGTACGTGTCGTTCCCGTGCGTCGCACGGGAACGACACGTACGGCACACTCGACACGAACTCTGTGGTGAAACAGGAGCCCATCGACCCGGACGTGGACTTCTCGAGCAGTTGTAGTCAGAACTCAGGCTATTCTGGGGGCAGCTATTCTGGACAGTACGACACCCGCGACCATCACGTGAACGGCTCAGACCAGAGTCCCATCTCTTTGCACTTCAGCGGCAATAGTATGCGTTCCGGACATAAGAGCCATAAGAATGGTAAGAAGAATGTGGACAAAGCCAGTGATGAGTACAAGAAGCGCAGGGAACGCAACAACATAGCCGTCCGCAAGAGTCGCGAGAAGGCGAAGATCAGGAGCAGAGAGACCGAGAAGAAGGTGTCTGAGTTGGCCCGAGAGAACGACACCCTCCGCAAGAAAGTCGATATGCTGTCCAAAGAGCTCAATGTCCTCAAGTCCCTGCTCACTAACGTTGGCGTCCCCGCCGAGAGTGTCGACACCGAGATCGCCAAAGGCCTCCAAATGGATGGCCATCCGAGCACTCCCTACGGCTCATCCATGTAATGCATGTCGCGTTTTCTGTCTTTCCCTCTGTTTCTCTAACTGTTGTTTCAATCAATCATTGATTTCACATTCATTTAAATATATATTTATATGTCATATATTGACGCAAATTAGGGCCACATTTGACATAACAGTCCTCAGTTGACTCACACCTCATTCAATGATCAATATATACATATATTTAGTATATATTTATATATAAAGAGTTATTTTAATAATGATTACGAATAGAAACAATCATAAAATAAGACAAATGTGTTATAAATAGTTATAATTTTCAAATACCAGTCGTAAGTGAATCGCCTTTTTTTCAATTGAATTCAAAAACAACTCGCTTTCGCTGTGAAAGTGAGCGACTGTATGACTGCACACACAAAAGCCTGAAATACATAACATTACATACGATACATACCAGTGCCTGAATATTTTTGATTAAATATTTGAGGCTAACTCCTCATTATTAGTGCTCACAATTGAGTTATAATTGCGATTAATATAAATATATGTATATTATTATGAATTACTGATACGAGTGAACCAATACAACCAATACGTGCAGCCATTCCTCTCTAACGAATGGCTTCATTGGATAAAGACTTTAAAGTGAAAGCAAACACACAATCAATATATAAATAAATATTTAAATGTTATGCCATTGACGGCACTTTCAATCAATTATATGATAACATTAGAGTTGTCCCTCTTTTTCGGTTTATGTTTTGTTTTGAATTGAGTTTTTACTAAACATTTTGTCTCCTAATATATAATGTAAATGATTTGAATGAATCGCCTCTTGAGATAAGAAATATATAATTAATTATCGGATAAATAGTTGTATTTATCAATATTTTTAATTACTATTCATTAATGATTGTTATTATTTAAAGTGATTTATTGATTGGCATTTTGTGCTCTTTTGATTATAACTATAATTATAATTGGCTTTACACTACTTACCGACAACCTTAACTAATATTGATATTAATGATAATAATATATTTCAAAATGTATAGTAGACTTATATATAAGATTTGATTTTTACAGAGACAAAAATATTTTATTTGCTGTTGTAGTCAATGATAATATGTTTATATTTCATAATACAAATTGTGATCATCTCTTCTCTGGTGCTCTTCTATTTTGTTGAACATGTCTTCAGATATCAAACAAAATATAACTTATAATTGAATTTTACATGAAATACACACTTATAGGAACTGATTTGACATTTATTTTGTCAATCAAATCGGTTTTTCTTACATTAATCAAAATGTTTTATATAACGAAAAGTTTTAATTATGTTTTCAATACGATTACTTTTATGGGTCTCTTCTCTATTCATTAAAACCAAAATAATTTATTTTACACTTGATTTCAAGATTTGTCGTCGAGTGGTAATTGATTTTAATTACAGTTCAAATTATGTTACATGTTATGGATATTCTGAAATTATTATCAAACAACTCATTCTTATCATTATATTTGTAAAACAAATTGTTCTCTAAAGTTATCGCTATTATTATGATTATTAAAGAAATTGTTGTTTAAATTTAAATTCGTTTTTATTTCTCACTTTTATTTCTGTTTTCTTTTTTCAACGAAAGTCAACAGAAATGAAACCAATGGTTGCAAAACAGGTGTATAATAATTATGCACTCATTCTAGGCTTAAAAATAAGAGAATAAACAGAATTCTGTTATTTATTTGAAACTTGTTTTATGCTTACATACATTCAAACTATTAATAAAATCCGAAAATGAGATCAAATGGCAAATTAAAAGATTGGTATTGAAATTATTCTCGTAAGTGATATATTTCTAATGACAACATTTGTCAATCATGTTTTAAATGGAGTGATAATCTGTTGTCTCGTTTATAATTATTGTTGAAAAATGCGATTTTCAAGACATATTTGGTTATATGAATGTATGGCTGAATGTATGAATGGTTTATAGATAGAGAAAGTGGTATTTTGTGAAAATCAAGTTCAGGACAACAAGATCTGCAACTCGTTTGGTTTGGTTCGCCTCTTCTTTTGAGAAGCAAAACATAAAATAAAAACTAAATATTTCATTATTATTGAGATAATTGCTGTACAACTGTAACCCACTTATCGTGTGATAACGTCTTGTACCACAACTATAACTCAATATAAGGCATATTATAGTTATGTTTATTGAATTTGTTATTCAATTTGATGAAACAAAAGACTTTAGACAAGACTTTCGACGACTCTTTTTATTGCTATCAAACTTCACTTCATTTCGTTCTCATAAATAACTGGCGTTTGTCTCCAAAAATGGAAATCAGAGATTAAATGAAAACATTATTTTCGTGATTACTATATCTATAAAGAATAATTCAAATCTTCAAATCCCATGACATTCAATAAAAATGAGACCTTTTATCGATACCACTGCTCTCGAGTCGTGTTATTTGTTTAGAAAATAAAATTAGATTTAAATTCAATGTTAATGTTATCAAGAATTCGAGTCAAAGAGAGTCATAATTTCCATTTTTGATTATTACTCCTGTCTTTCCTGAAAATAATTATCAAAACTCGATTCAACACATATTTTCACAGATTTTCCTTTTATTCAGAACTGATTATGAGATAAAAAACACTGAAAAACGCTTTTTCCTATCTTTAATATTTAAGTGAATCGAGAATTAAATTAAATACAAGTTTTAAATACAAATATGTGATTATAGTTTATGCTTTGATTTAAATGAAAATTTAACAATAAAGGCTTCAGATTAGCCTAGTTTTTAAATACAGTAATTATTATTAATAGTAAATAGCTTTTATTTCTCGAGTTGTGTTTAATTTTTGTCTTTATTTGTAAATTAATAAACGTTTTGCTAATAATATTCAAAATCGTATGACGACTACAATCTACAAACTAATGATAGTTTCTAAGGAATTGCATTAAAGTATATAACATAGAAAATCCTAAATGAATGGTATGTTTTGCCAAAAATCAAATGAATTGCACTTTTAAACAGTTGTCATTAAGAGTGATAATCAAGGTCTCTCTGATAAGACCCATGTATAATAATATATCTATAATACACCAGTATTCACTAATTTTCTAAACAATTTTTTATACAATCAAAATAATTACAAACTAAGAGTCATATTAAAACTTACATTTCATTATAATATAAATTTATTTAAAGTTTCACTTATTTGAAATTTATAAATATGAGGCAAATTATTGAATGTTCAATAAATTGGTTTTGAAATTCAGTCTAATTTTCAATACATATTAATTAATGAACAAATTCATTGAAAATAACATAGGCTATAATTTAGTGCTCATTTTAGAAATGTTTTATACATAACGAGTGGTCATATGTTTTATATAACATTACTGTAATGAACCGATGATAACATATCATCTAATTTAGGGTTTGATTTATTTGAAAATCTATACTAATGATTAAAGCAAATGACTTATAAATGTAATTGTTTTTAATTTGTTTAAACTAACAAAGCCTAGCCAACTTTTATTAACTAAACTCGTAATGTTATCTTTCAATGATAAAACATAATCATTGAATGGTTTAAGTTTAAGGATATTTAGATAGATGTAATTCAATCCTTCAATAAATATGAGATTATTTATATATTATATACCAATAGATTAAAATTCTATATAATATTATATTGGATTGTATTGAAGATTTATTTTTTTAATAATTAAGAATTATATATTCAAAAATATTTTAACATAACATTTGATCATTACTATATTTTTATTTAAAATTAAAATACAATTAAAATTATTTTATGTGAATATATTAATCGATTAAAATAAAATAAATTTCAAGTTTGCTTTGAAAGAATACTTATTTTAAATAATTATAAGAATTTAACTTAAATCTCTTCCCTATAAATGACACCAATTTTTAAATATTAATAGATTTTAAATCCAAAATAATTATCAAATGTAAAAATTAAATTTAATTTCCAATTAATTACTGAATAGAAAATAAAGGCGAAAATCTATTTACGGTCTATTTTTTCCGAAGTGGAGTTTTTATATACATTATATAAATAATATTGTATTTCATTATTATTGTTATTTTTATATAACAATAATTATGATTGTGTTTTGAAAAAAGTTTGTAATGAAAAGCCATTGTCAATGATAGGGAAAGTATTTTCAAACGAGATTTTTTGAGGTTTCGTTTAGAATTGGGTCAAAGTATTAATTTCACGACAGATATACACAACAAAAAATTTTTGAAAAGAGAGTGAGAGTGAGTTAAAGTGTGAGTGAGTGAAAGAGAGAGAGAGAGAGAGAGAGAGAGACCAACTAAAAGAAAAGTTGAAATAAAAGTAAAATTAGATTATTTTTAATATTCATTAAAAGAATTTTATCTCCTAAATAATCAAAAAATTATTATATAAATTGAAATATCACATAAAACCCGATATTCCAGTATTTTCACAATCCCTTTAGAACTCTCTCTCTCTCTCTCTCTCTCTCTCTCTCTCTCTCAACAAGTTTCACTCTTTAAAAAAGGTATTCATTTGTGTTTACAAATTGAAAGTACAGTATAACTACTGTATAGTGTAGGGAATGTGAAGTGGAATGAGTGGAAGGGCTGATGCCTTGGGAGTAGTGTATGGAAGAGGTGTTCGGTATATACTCTATGGTATAATACAGTATATGTTAACTGTAAGCAGTATTCATATTGCAGCATTATAGGGTTTGTGGGGCACGGGAGCGGAGCAATGGCGCATAAAGAGGCCAACTATTAGATAATAAGTGAAAGTGGAAAGTGTTGGCATTGAGCGAGTCTTACATGTCTTAACAACTCGTGTTGGGCTCCTATTCAGGGCTTAACATCTTTATATAAGTCACCTTTTTTTGCATACATTTACTTTTGAATGCTGTACTTAAATCCCTTTTCAAATACCTCTACATTCAGTTGTGCTTAATTTGAGTTAAGTTTTAATCACTTTTTCTCGTTTTTTATTTTCTTTTTAT